ACACCCTTCTATGGTTCACATCACATATGGCCCACTACAGCTCCCCCTATAGTTCACATCACATATGGCCCACTACACACTTCTATAGTTCACACCACATATGACCCACTACAGCTCCCTCTATAGTTCACATCACACATGGCCCACCTACACCCTTCTATGGTTCACATCACATATGGCCCACCTACAGCTCCCCCTATAGTTCACATCACATATGGCCCACCTACACCACTTCTATAGTTCACACCACATATGACCCACCGACACCCTCCTTCTACAGTTCACATATGGCCCACCTACAGCTCCCTCTATAGTTCACATCACACATGGCCTACCTACTGCCCCCTTCTATAGTTCACATCACATATGGCCCACCTACAGCTCCCTCTATAGTTCACATCACACATGGCCTACCTACTGCCCCCTTCTATAGTTCACATCACATATGGGCCATCTACAGCCCCCTTCTAAAGTTCACATCACATATAGCCTACATACACCCCATTCTATGTATCACATCACATATGGCCATCTATAGCCCCTTTCATAGTTCACATCACACACGGCTCACCTACAGCTTCTTGTTTCACATCACATGTGGCTCATCTACAACTCCTTCATAGTTCACATCACACATGGCCTACCTACACCCTTCTATAGTTCACATCACATATGGCCCATCTACAGCTCCCTCTATAGTTCACACCACATATGGCCCATCCACATCCTCCTTCTACAGCTCCTTCATAGTTCACATCACACATGGCCTACCTACAGCTCCCTCTATAGTTCACATCACACATGGTTTATCTAAAGCTCCCTCCATAGTTCACATCACATAACATGAAATGAATAAACACATCATGGTTAAAATAATATTTTATTTTGTTATGTTATATTATATTATATTATCTCATGGTTATGAATATAGCCAACTGAAATACTGGAGAAAGCATTTTTTCAAAGCTATTATCAAATTTCATGATTTAGGAAATTCAGAAAGACAATAAAATCTACAAGTCTATTAACACCATTCTGAAAAGGTTTTAAGTCACTTTCCACAAAATATATGCATTATATACACTTACATCAGCCCAAATATATTTTTTCTAAAACTGCTGCTGCTGTACATCAACCCAAATGAGTTTTCTCTGGAACCACTGTGCACATCAACCCTAATGAAACTATGAAACAATTTCTGTACACCAATCCAAAAAGGTAGTCTTTGAAACCACTTGTGTACATTAATTCAAAGGGGTTAACTGAAACAGCTTGTGTACAATAAATGTTATTCCAAAAATGCTAATACAAAACATTGTGTGTTTACCTGTGCTTCTATAAAAGAGAATTTGGATAATCCCTTCAACTTGATTACAAGATTATGTTACTGAAAATGTCTCAGATGTATTGACGCCTTCAATCATAATTTGAGCCATCCATGACATCCAATCTCTGCGACTTGCTTGGGATCTGTCAACAAACTCAAACACTGATGAAGACTTCAGGTGTCATTTTGTCATTTTTATATGTACACTTCGCACAAATTTCTAGTTTCTGGTTGCTCCCCATCTTAAAGTTACATTCGCACTGTGCAAATCTGTGAGGTAGTCCCCAATCAATATATACACTAGAAAATGTTGATATAGAGGACAGGTATAAGCAACAGATTTTATTTTTCATCACAAAAAAGTCCTACTTATAGTCTACACTAACAAAAATAGCCAAATTTTTTAGTAAAAACTGAAAATTGACTAAAATTTTGACCATTGGCTACAAAATCAGGATTCATTTTCAGAAATATTGAATAATACAAGATAAAATGCAGAAAAATTTGGGCAAGAAAGTCTGGTGGTGAATAGGTTAAGACCCAAATAAAATTGTCACTGCTACAAAATGTTCAGTGACTTGGTAAAGTGGTCGTAATGTATAGAGAATGCCTTCCTTATTGATGCACAGTAACTTTTGTATGCTACATTGTGTATTCTTCAAATATGCATTATATTGTAGCACATATGAGAGTGACCTTATTTTAAATCAAAATCTGTACTATAATTATTTCAGTATTACAGGATGTAGAATTTTTTCCCAATAACTGTAAATATTTTTTTTGAAAAACTGTCAAGTACTACAAACATAATTCCAATTTAGCAGCAGTTATTGGCCACAATCAAACATAAAATACCTACTAAATACCCCAAGTACAACTTACAATATATCAACTCAACATTATAGATTTTCTCTATGGCAGAGCAACAATTTTATTACAGTATATATGTTTCTGTGTACACAAAGAGATTAAGTCTAGTATATCCACTTGCAATGTACAAAACAATGTAGATGTCGATGTTTGAAATGAAGCCATTCCGTTATTGTGCATTACCACAAGAAGAGTTAAAATTGAAAACAACTATGACACCACCACTGCTACCAGTGATGTCAAACATCATGTTCTCATGTTCTTTTGATTATCCCAACAGCTAACAAGGAGAATGAGTTTAATTTCTTTCACAGATGTTAAACTCTGTTTATACAGATTTACTGGTTGTATATTTCAGTCTAGAACAGGTAAGCATGAACACCAAGGCTTTTTAGTAACATTACTTCAGATTCAATTCAAGCACCACAACCAATCAGAATATAAGGCCACATCTTCTACTCCACAATATGGGAAAGCCATTATTTGAATATGATAATGAAGTAGCCCTGTCAATCAGTTATGATCTATCAACACATTAATTCAAGACTTTCATTTTTTTGAAGGCCACAAAATGTTCAAAAAACAATACAAAAAACTGTCCATTGTCAAGCTCCAACATAAGATATTATAAAAATAGTTTTGAAAGCAGAGAATATAATATACCACATACATGATACAGGTGAGTGTTTCACTAAATCTCTCACAACATACAAGAAAGTTTCTTACTGCTAACATAATGCACATGAGTTTTTAACTGCTGAGTTTCACACTTCATTACTCACATGATTTAGATGAGTTTCCAACTAGATTTCTCACAAGATACAGGTATATTACTCACTGAATTGTTAACATAATGCAGATGAGTTTTCTAATTACTGAGTTTCACACTTCATTACTCACATGATTGAGGTGAGTTTCCAACTGTATTACTCACAAAACGTACAGCATTGCCTACAGAATACATGTACATTTCTCACTGCATTGCTCATTTCACTGCTCAAACAATACATACAAATTTTCAACTGCTTTTGACTTCATTTCTCACTGCAATACTTCCACGATATGTGCGAGTTTCTCACTGCATTGCTCACAGGATATGTGAGAGTTTTTCACTGTATTGCTCACATTATATGCAAGTTTTTCACTATATTGCTCACATATGTGTGAGTTTTTCACTGCATTGCTCACATGACCAAAGAGACCTTCATATTAATCACATAACCGAGACAAATCTGTTACAATAGTGGTCACATGGCCCAAGTAAATAAATCCATCAGCATAATGGTCACATGGACCAGACAAATCTATTACAATGTTCGCACAACTTAAATTTGGGCACCTCAAATCAGGTACATGACATCAAGAAGATAACACGGGTGATCTTGGGCTTTGTAGGTCTAAGATAATTGTTTTGATAATCTCTTGAGAAGTTGTTGAGACCTGTACAACATAATGCTGAATAATGCAATTCTTTCATTAATAGTTACGTAAATAATTATTACAGGAAAATCTAGTTTTAGAACACAAATTTACAAAACAATTACAAAAATGAAAAAGTTATAAACAATTTGCTATAAATTCAAACCAGCTAAGACAATACCGGTAAAACGGTTTCATGGTTTGAACCAACACAAAAATCACTAAAAATATATTTTAAGTAAAACCTCACACTATTTATAAATAGTGGGCATATCAAGCAAATTTGTGTTGTTGATTGAAGAATTTTAACACAATAAGCAATTTTAAACACCAGGTGATTAAATTTGTCAAGTAAATATTGAACAAAATTCCTAATTTAGAAAAATGAAAAAAGAAAAAGAAAAAAGGAGTATGGTATTAAAATGAACGCACACATAATTTCTTTTTTCATTCAAGGTAATTAAAGTCATTACTATATATTACTGGTTTATATTGATTGATTGAATAAATAATGAATAAAAAATAATTGCCAACTTTTTTTTCTTTCAATAGACAACATTCAGAATCCAATGAGGCTGCCTTACAAGTTTGAATAGCGCCCTCTATGTCACATGCCTCGTATAATAACTCTCTTGTCTTTGATATAAAATATTGATTCAAAAGTTTTCCCACCAACTGAACAATTCCAAATATGTGTTGTTTAGAAGCACTTTTTTGTAGATAGGAATATAAAATGTGATGAATAAACATACATGCTGATGTGAAATTACAGATAGTGTACTTTTAGAAATAATAATTTTGTTGTAAATTTATGGTCCCAAATATAGAAACTAAAAAAATAGACAAACATGAAGCCTTTCCTTCTGATCATAGTCGCAAATTTTTGTCAGATTATTGATAATCACATCACTGATCGATTCCGACTCATGTTAAATGCGTAAGTTGGTCCACCATTGGCCAATGGCATTCCTTGTTTTCAAGATTAAGTCACGACTGTAAAACTTCCTACTGTTTTCAGTGCCTCAAGACTGGTTGACTTAGCCTCACTGCACTACCTGCTGACATTATAGGAACTTTGTTGTCACGGTGATAACTTATTAGATGATTGACACTGTCAAATACTTTGTCTTTTGTTCTCACCTGAAAATAGAACAGTATACTTAGTGTTAGCTAAGTACCGAACTCGTCCGACTTAGCGTCCATGCTCGACTATTTGAACCTACCCCTGCCCTTTTTTGGAATTCCTACTGTTGGGATGATGTTTGACTAAGCACACATTCCTTCCAAAATGCCCCAAATTTAGCTATCTAGTCATAAAAAATGGTCATAAAAAATACTAGTAATCAAATTGGTATAATATAGCATGAATATGGTGTGAATGTACAAATTATGGTAACTATGGTGACAGTAGTGAAAGATGAATTACTAGTACCAGTTCAATATAAATCATGCCACTCATTCGCCAAAATTAATTTCAACAGGTTATACTTTGACATCAAGAATTTGCTTCTGTAATGTGTTACCAGAATGCCTTCCAAAATTTTTTGGGAACCGCGTTTGTAAGATTGAACACATTCAACAATAATAAATGTAATGTTGCCCACGAACCCTAACAATTTTTTACATTGTACATAAATAATATTCTGATTAAATGTGCGTATTTTGTGTGATCATTTCTGTTACTTCATTGTAAGTGTTGTAGATATCAATGACGATGCAACAAATTTCACAATTTTATCCCCCCCCCCCAAATGTAATATTTCCATTTTTTCATTTGCATAATTTGCATAAGGGAGGGGGGTGCTCAACTAAGTGTCCAGCCACCTAAGTCGTATCAAGTACTGTATGAATATATGAATACTAGCCCAACAATGTATAAACTGAAGACAGTTTAACTGTGTAAACTGAAAGCAATCAAACCTGTGTACACTGAAGACAATCAAACCTGTGTACACTGAAGGCTATTAAACCTGTGTAAAATGAAGGCTATTAAACCTGTGTAAAATGAAGGCTATTAAACCAGTGTAAAATGAAGACCATTAAATCTGTGTACACTGAAGACAGTTTAATCTTTGTAAACTGAAAAACTTCTTAAATCTGACGTGTGTAAATTGAAAACAGTTTAACCATTGTGAACTGAAAGCAATCAAACCTGTGTGAACTGAAAGCAATTAAACCTGTGTAAAATGAAGGCTATTAAACCTGTGTAAAATGAAGGCTATTAAACCAGTGTAAAATGAAGACCATTAAATCTGTGTACACTAAAGACAGTTTAACCTTTGTAAACTGAAGAACTTCTTAAATCCGATGTGTGTAAATTGAAAACAGTTTAACCATTGTGAACTGAAAGCAATTAAACCTGTGTAAAATGAAGGCAATCAAACCTGTGTAAACTGAAGACCATTAAATCTGTGTAAAATGAAGACCCTTAAAACCTGTGTAAACTGAAGACCATCAAATCTTTGTAAAATGAAGACCATTAAAACCTGTGTAAACTGAAGACCATTAAATCTGTGTTAAATGAAGGTCATTAAAGCTCAAATCCAAAACAGCACCCATTTTTACTTACCACTCCTTTAGGATCAACCAGTAGTAAATGTTTACAATGACCACCCTGCACACCGCTTAGTACAAATTGACCAGCCGTAGTCGTACTCTCTCTCACTAAGAAATCACCATCTTCTTCAAGTAATACTTCAGCCTGTTTCCGTGACAATGGACCATGGAACCATTCTTCATGATCCATTGTCTGTGGATTGGGTGATAGAGCAGCCCCGGCTTCGGCCCTGGCTTCGGCCCTGGCTTCGGCCTCTCCGGAACCCCCGGATGCTGCTTGGCCATCTGGAGGCTTAAAAGGCTCTGTAAAATCACGAATAACCATAGGACACATTAGGTGCTTGAGATATCATGCCCAATTAAATTTTTGAATATCATATTTTTTGATTTGTTATGCAGCTTAGTTTTGTAACTAAAATTGTCTTTGGTGTTTAAATGGTTAATATCTTGCAATCCATAGCTACAGTGTTATCCCGGGGGTTCGACTTAAAGAATGATCTGGTACGCATGTCTGTGGAAGAAATCGGGTTAAAAGGGTGTTTTTTTAAAAGAAAAGCACGTTTAACGCACGTTACACGTTTAGGGTTACCATTTCATTCAAAATAGAAAAAAAAGGATGTCTTTTCCGGTACTGCCAACGTAATAAAGGTGATCAATGATCACAAAAACAAGGAAAACGTCTGTCCCCCTGGTTAACGACCCTCGATCACGGGTGATCACGGCATATGACCAACCCGTGTTTACACTGAACGACTAGAAAGCTCAAATAATGCGAGATCAGGCACAAGCTCAAGGTGCGTGATCTTCTAGCTTTCTAACAGTGAAAAAGATTTAGAGTTATTTTAAAAGCCTCTTTCACAGACATGGGTTCCAGGTATTTCCACAAGTTGGACCCCCAGGAGTGTTTATTCTGTATTTGTGCCACTTAAATCACTAATTTACAAACATACCCATGTCAAAAACATCTGTAGTTAAGATTGACGATGCTGCTGACTGTTGTATGTTGTCTTGTGATGTTGTCGTCTCCATTGGTCTGATAGCGTCATCACCCGTTTCACCTCTGCCACTGCCATGCAGTTCTTGTGGTAACGTGTAAATAGAATCATCAAACGCACTAACAGGAGGTTTGGGCACATCGTAAGATGCTTTGGCCATATTGGGACGGTCATAAGCTGCACTGGCTGTAATTAAGAATGAATAATTAAACAATTAAGTTAATTTTAAAATTTCCAATGCAATCAACCTTGAAAAATAAGGAAATGAACAAAATTTCTTTTTTTTTAAATCTTCACCCTTGGAAGAGCATTGACACTTTGAATACCTAGTATTCTTGCAGAATTAGTGGTGTGACATTTTGTGGCACATTTTTATGTATTTTTCACAATTCCAGACAAAATGGACATTGACTACAAGTTTTAAGTACAATTTTTTTTTAATAATACAGTAAATTATGTGTGTTATTTTGTGAACATGCAATGAATTGTTTTGAAAAAAATGAACTTGTTACTATGACAACCAAGATAACCTTTTGTAAAATATGTAGATTATGAGAAAACGTACATTTATAATATATAAATATTATATACATTTATTTTGTTGAAAGTTCAAACAGATAAACAAGTGTAACTACATGTATTCTGAATTATTAGTATTTGATGAATTAATATTTGCACATTGGGCATAAACCAGTCATGTGACTACAAGAGACTGCAGGGCACCATTTTATATTAATTGGAATATCAAAAAAATAGTGCACAATGCTAAAACAGAAAGAAGTGTGCAGACCAGTATATATTGTCGGACTAGGAAAGGGAATACATGAATATAAGCAACAGAATCATTTCATTGTGACAGCAGTCGCATTTGCACCAAAAATGTCTTCAGTGTGTGCGGGATACAACAAACAGACTGACATACAGACATACATACAAACTAACAGACAAACAGACATACAGACAAACAGACATACAGACAAGCAGACATACAGACAGACAGACATACAGACAGACAGACAAACAGACATACATACATACTAACAGACAAACAGACATACAGACAAACAAACAAACAGACAGACAAACAGACAGACAAACAGACATACAGACAAACAGACAAACAAGGCACCTTTTGTTTCACAGACTTCATAGACATTTTTCTGCTTTTCTGCTTTTCTAGTGCTTCGTTTTATTACTGGTCATAGGAAAGGCAAAAAAGAAAAAAGAAAAACGAGTTGTACGTGACTATCAATAGGATAATGTGATATCAAACAAACTGACAAAACTTATTAAAATTATTAGTTTATATTACTGTATTTATCACATGACCATGG